GAATGCTTACATTCAGAGATCTACAACAAAAATCCTGAAATGTCTCCACAAATAGTTACACAGTTGTTGCAGAATTATAAATTAACTGCAAAATAAAAAAACAAGTGCGCCCAATTTTCACATTTGTATAAAATATAACCAGAATACAACCAGTTGGCAACCAGCTGAGTTCAGTCCCCTACTGCAAACAGACAAGCTGCAGAAGGCTGACTCAGATTGACTGCAACTTGTTGACAATCTGTCAGCAATTCTGAATTATATCGCAATTATTTGCAAATCTTCACCAATATGTCTGAGAGTGACTGCAGTCAGAGCGAGTCAGGCCGAAAAAGAAAATCATCACCAGGCAACCGCAGGTTTTAACACTAGTGTGACCAAGCTATTATTGACTCAGTACTGCCATGTGCACCATAAGGATTCGTTTATATATATCCTCAAGTGGTTTAAAAGTGTTTAAAAACAGTTGCTAAGTTTACTCTTTTTTAAATTATTGATGAAGTTTCTGAGATAATACAAATTGCAAGAAGAGGTTGCACCTTTTACACTTGAACCGGGCTGTAGAGGACTGATTTGGCAAACAATTCTGCTAGAAAAATCATAAGTCCAGTGGTATAATTGTGTGTTTGTCACTGATTCTGTGGACTAACCACAAGGCCCCCCAGACTTTAATCAATGTAATGCCTGTTTTCATTTTACATCTGTCTAATTAACTTGTGTAGAACATCAGGTTTATGGAAAACCTACTCAGTTGGGACCCAGACGCACAGCTGTTATTTCCCTGCACTTTGGTGCCATTTTGTGGCTGTTATAACAACTGGAAAACACATCATGCAAACAAAGCTTCGACTGCCATAAATCAAATGGATTCAATTCTTTGTTGAACTTCCAAACATTTAGTTTTGAACTTATTACTTCCATCTCTTCCGTGGGATTTTGAGAAGCGCTTCTATCGAGTTAATCATCTTTTAATGCTGCATGGCTTAACGCTACGTGTTGACTTTAAACCAGCATAAGACCACCGTTTTGGAGCAATTAAGAAATAATAATAATTTTCAGTTTTTCCCATGCTGATTATGTGGAACAACCCAAAATTGCACAGCTATACACTCGCCTAAAGCGCTCTCAATCATATTCCTTGATGTTAAGGTGGTAATACAGTTCGGGGAGAGCCATGTTCTGTGCTTTGTGTCTGGTTTTATGAACTCCAACTTGTGATCCTATTTGTGCTTTTGGCATCATCCTAAACAAATATCTTTATATATGCTCTATTGAAATCCCATCATATTCAGTAGTATTCTTTCAGAATATTTGAGTTGTCTTGCAGTTTGGACCAAGAAACACAGCTGTTAGCCGTCTTTATCAAAGAGGCAGTCATTTTTTAAAATCATACTAAAACTGTAACTGCTGAATTAAAAAAAAAAACTCCTCACATGCAATACAGCTATACATTAAAACCAAATTATGCCTACATATTTACATTACAATATTTGCTCTTAAACATGTTGCAGTCATTACTAATGTCGCCTTTACTTTGCCAAAGGGGAAACACTGCTTACTGGAGGGTGAGCAGACTACAATAATAAGACTTGTACTGCAAATATTACCCCTTAACATGCACATACACACATTCACACTTTCCAATATAAACACATGTGGCTGGAAATGGCAATGGCAAGAAGCAGAAGGAAGGAAATGTCAAGATACAGAACAAAGGTGCACAAAAATAAGCCGTTAAGCAACAGCAAAAACAATCTCAGCGAAGTTTAAAAAGAAGGTCTTACCCAAGGAACTGCGCTCCTGCGGGACCGACCTCAACAAGTCTGCTGGCCAGGCCTTCTCCTTCCACCATCGGGGGAGGCGACGCCAATTTGTGCCTCTTCACCAGTCGACACGTGATCCGGGTGGGTGCTGTGCACTTTCTGGGCGGGATGATGATTCTCATGCCGTTGTGACGGCTTCCTCTCATGGAACCACCCCTGGCGTCGACCATGAAGCTGACCAGGAACCTGACGGAAAGTAAAAAGGTAGGAAGAGCCGGAAAAAGAGGGGGAGAGATGTAGAGTGACAGGAGAGAGAGAAGAAGGGAAATGGAGTGTGCAAAGATAAGAGGTAAAACAAAGTGAAGAGAAAAAGAGATAACCAGAGAGGGCAAGTAAAGGGTAAAGAAAAGAAATGGAATAAGAAGAAAAACAAATGTTGGTTTATCGGCTGTACTGATGACGAGAGAGGAGCTTTAGTCGAGGTCCCATGCTGTGATCTTCAAAACACTGACAAAGTAAGTGTGAGTAAAAGGGAGAAAGAGAGGTGAACAAAGAAGAAAAAACAAAAATGTACAGAGGTTTCTGTGCTGGCTATGACTGAAGTTGAAACAATAAAATAAGAACAAAAACAGCTTTGGCATGTAGATGTCGCAAATTTGGTAAATCCATTTACAGAAAGTGAATGTTTTTGAATTAAAGTGTAAAAACTAGTCGATTCCATAGGATGTCAGATTAAATGTTTTATTGGGTTTTTTTTGTACATGATATATAAATTTGACAGCCAGGACACCAACACAGGAACCTCCAGTGTGTCTTGCCTTTTTCCCCACATTAGAAGGTAGTGTACCTCTGTGTGCAGCTCATTTAACTCAAACAAGGAACTTATAAGTCACACACACAGACGCACACCATGCAATACTAAAATGTGGTGTTAGTTTTTATGTTATTTAACAAACAGCACATGAATTGTTGCTTTAAAAATATGCTTGAAGGGGATCTGTTGTGTGCTTCCTTATTTTCTGTCATACATACACTCTAACTGTCATCTATACTCATATTAAACATAGCCAAAGTTTCAAGAAACGTTTCAGTCAGTTTTTTCTACTCTTGGCTCTGCATGATGCCATAAAGAGGGGCGTGTATGTGAATAAAGCCCCGCCCACCTGTTGTTAAAATCCCCTGCTAACAATTGGCAGCCAATCAAAGAGAGAATGCTTAAAGGGAGAGACTCCACAGAGAGCCAGCGTAAGATTCATGCAAAACTATTCTAGCAGAGTCCAAGAATAAAATACTGAGCTGGGTTCACTGTCACATTATAAACTGAACTGACGCTTTTACTGAGTTTCAGTTTTAACATTTTAATCTAGAATGACATATCTGCCATGTTCTTACTGACTATTTAAAGCTAATCCTGTGATTGTCAAGACAGTAGAGGCTTGCTGCTGGAGAATGCAAAAACCATAACACACGGCTAAAGCATATGTCAGCAACATTAAATTTAAAAGTCACATTCGGTCAGATCTGGCAACACAGACTCTTTCAGATCAGTTAGAAACTCAAAGATTTTCTCCTAACAAACAGGAAGGAATAAATACAGCGATAACAGTCCGAAACACTTTACGTCAAGTCTGTAACAACACAGGGTGAGAACAGCAAACACAGATGTTATGAGTGAATATAAAAGGGAAGGTGCAATGTCATCGGGAAATTAAATTAAATTAAAAAAAGGTAGTGGTGGTGATAAAAAGAAGGCAACCAATCACAGTCAATCACCTGCTGTCGTACTGCGGGAGCGGAGAGGAAAAACTGCAGGATGGACGACAAAGCAACGCAGGAGTGACAGGTCAACCACAGAGCTTTGTAATCGGAAATACAGCTGAGAAGATCATTAATGAACCCTGATTTAAAGGAAGAATTTGAGGGAAAACTGTGGGAAATGGGAAATAGTCTTAATTGCTGTTTTGTGGAGATTAAAAGGAGGAGATTGTCTTCTTTATTCGTTAAACAGCCAGCAGCCAATTACATCACACAGGCAAAAGAACTGTATTTTTGTCTTTATACGGCTTTAACATAGGTGATATAACATGTTGATAATCAAGCTTTAGAGCTGCCTGTAGGTGGATTTTCCACTGGACAGAGCCAGTGTAGCAGTTTCCCTCTCTCCCATCTTTGCACTAATCTAAAGATAACCAGCTGCTGGCAGCGGCTGCATTTCCCCCCAGTCTTCTTCTCTAAATCTACCCTTGAAAGGCAAATCTCCACCATTACCAAACATGTCAAATAAAACTTTGTTTAAAATATAGCTTTATCTTCCTTTACTTAAGTAACAGATAGAATTTAAGTAATCCTAACTTAACAGTTTATCCATTAAAGACAAGTAGAGAAAAAGTAATGCCTGATGAAGTGTCCAGCTATACACTGCCTGGCCAAAAACACTCACCACCTGCGTTTAACCAAGCAAATACGTAAGAGTCTTCCATAATATGTTTAGATTGGAAACAGGTTAATTATCTCTAAGTGATGCAGTGAGTAGCTTCTCATTTCTCATGCAAACACATTGTAAGACATGTTTCAGAAGAGTCAAACAAACTGTAGTCTTATCAGTGAGGCTAATCAGAATTAAAGGCTTCAGTTTGATAAGGAGTATAAAGATTGGACTCTGTAAATAAATCTACTTGGTAATTGTGGACAGGATGAGTCCAGTTTACCCTGCTCCAGAGTGATGGGGGCCTCAGGCACCAGGAGTAGTTGATGAAGCGATATACCCATCATGCCTTGTGCTTGCTGTGTTATAATCTAGGGTTGCTTTAGTTGGTGATATCTGGTTTAATATATGTTATATACCCCAGAAATGAGGTCAGCTGAATACCTGTATATACTGAATGACCACATTTTTTAAACAGTGTATTGTTTCTTCTCTGATGGCATATTCTAAGATAACAAATTATAAAAGAGTGGTTTAGTCCAGGCCTTAACCTTAGAAACTTGGGATGTGCTTTACGCAGTGGTCTGACTGAAAAGACGAAGTGTTGATAAAAAAATTAATGCAACTATAATTTTTTTTGGCCGGGCAGTGTACGTAACTTTCAAACGAGTCCCTTAATGGGCAATTAACCAAGAGGTCAAGATTACCTGTTACAGCTGCTGCGAGAGACAATGAGTTATGTGACCTTCAAATCAAGGTGAGGAGGAGCCAACTTTCCAGCTTTACTTTGTTGTGACTAAAAGTTTCTTTTTAACAGCAGTTTCTAGCTACACCTGTTTGTTATTAATGTTTGATTTTTTTTTAAAAATTACAGAAATCCTCGAAGTATTAGCTTTAAAGACTTAAAAAGGGTGAAGAGAAAATGCTGCATGTATGAGCTGCTTTGTCAGAGGGAAAGAAAATGAGACTCAGCAAGAAGAACAAACAGAAAACACAGAATAAGCAGAAGGAGATGATGACAGTCACTTCATCCTTTCCTCTAAAGGGTATAAAACTAGTAAGCCGTTTTCCTTCCTCTCCTTCCACTTTTTCACTCCATCTTTGTGATTAAGTCAGATATTTTCCCTTTTTACTCCCCCCACTCTTTCCTCCTGTTCTTATCCATTCACATTTTCAAACATGCTTACCCGGAGTGTATTGGTGAGGACACTAGGTTGACATTGTCCAGTGCATCTGCAGTCCAGCTGTACCTCCTCAGAGAGTCGCAGTCAAAGTCCTTAGCCGCTGCCAAATGCTGTGGAGAAGACAACAGAGTCAGTGCAATTCACGAGTGTGTGAAAATCTCAGCTAACTTCTCCTTTTAATGCAAAGACTTGCTTTTGCACATGCTAGGCTAATAGTGTGGAGGCTACAGATTTTTCAATATTCCCTATTTAATGTCAAAGTTTAGAGGGGAATCACTAGTTTTGTAGATATTTCTTGCAAATTTATGAATGAGTCATAAAATCATTTCTTCACGAGAAAGACAGCAGCAGATGTCGCTTAGTGTAAAAAACAAATCTGGAGATGTTAGATTTCATTAGAACACAAGCTGTCAAAAACATCTTGATGACATTCAAAACGAAGCTCGGAGTAAAATGCAAATGAAAAATCACCACATTAAGGATCAAAAGAAAAAAACAGACATCAGATGGCAGAAAACAAGCGACTAATAATGTTTACAGACAGACAGATGCACTGACACCAGGCCTGTTGTGTCACCAGTCTGAGGATGCTCTTGAAAGATTCAGATTCACTATTTATACTCCAGATGTGCACCAATATGACGTGTCAAGTTGAAGGCCATGCTTCAAACAGAAAATTAAAGCTAAGATTTTAGAGTACTTCTGAAAACTCGCTCACATTTAATGAGGACAAAATACTTGGAGTATTATATTAATCTCCAAATTGCTACAGAAAAACGGGGAGTGACAAAGACACAAAGTTTGGTTTTACTTATCCGAGGCACATGGATAAGTAAAAACAGGGAGGCTACTCTACTAAAACACTGTAAATACAAGCAGTACGGTAACAACTGAATCCAACCGATGAAATAAGTGATATAAAAAAAGAAAAGTTAACAATGCTTTACACAACTAAATGATACCAACACGTGGAAACCCACTGACACGAAGAGTGCATAATGACTTCTACATCTACCTTATTGTGTTGCTCTACAATGAAAGACTTTTCCTTACGAAGCATCTGGAGGAACGTTAGAGGAAACAAGTGGTTATTCAATTATTCAATAACTAGTACATCTTTACTCTCCAGTTACACAATCATACGTCCCAGTGTCAGAAATTTGCAGATAGTCTCAGATGCATGTTTGTTTTTTAAATTTCAGTTAAATAGACCCCACAGAGTTTTCGACCACTCTTTGTGCAAAGGAGCAAAGTTTTTAATTCAGAGTTAAACCATATTATCCACTTCTGGGTCTAAATGCCCCTTCAGCTTGCAAAAGCCATCAAATATAAAAGAACCACTCAGAGTTTCAAACAAAAGTCCAAATTCTTTTTATCTAATAAATTTTTTTTTGTGTGTGTAAATCTAGTAAAATGGTCAGTTGTGTTACAGTCAAGCATTAGCTAAAAAATAAAGGTTTGAAGAGGTTGAGTGGTGTTCAGTGGGATTTTTAAATCGACTGGAGGATAGATAACCTCCACTGATATTATAAATGATGGAAAAGGCGTAGGCCTGTTGTGTCAGCTACATTAGAGGCTCTATGCAGATTCGATGCAGAATTAAATTATGCAATAGCAACAAGATAGCTTGATAGCTAGCTGACATATAAAGATTTTCTGGCTGAAGTAATTCCCAAAGAAAAGAAAACAAAAAAGCAAAACTGTTTAGCAGTTTTCAGCATGTTTCAGCTTTTTTGTGGATAGCAAACCAAGTAGTTCAATGAGTCATGTTTGGTGCCAATTTTACATTTTAAGAAACAGAGATGCACATTTGCCATGGCTTATGCAAGAACGACTTTACCTGCCACTTCACAGGCAAGCATAATCTTTATCCACGCTGTCATTGAACTCATGGGGTATTCTATGAACAAGTTTTACTTGAACTTCTTCTTCTTCTTCTTCTTAACCTTAAATGCTATTTTCTTGCATCTTTCAAGTAAGTGGGACATCACAATAATCCCTCTTAGATAGCAGCAGGTAGCACTAATCTCATTTCCTCTTTCAGTAAATTGTAACTGGATTGATCGTCTTTATGTCAGTGGCAACTCAAGTGTAAGAGGATTGGTGTATTGCATAGCCTCTGGCACAGCACAAAGACACCTCGGTACATTTGGAGACAGAAGTGTGTCACTTGTAAAGTTAATGACCAGTAGATTACCGGCTGAGAGAATTAAACTAAGGGAGCAGCCAGCAAGAGGTATAAAGCATAGCATGAGCAGCTTCAAACTGATTTTTTGCTCTCACTACAGTAGCTTTGCATGATTTGCAATTCATAATAATCCTTATTATATGAGCAGCCTCTCACTTCATCTAAAATGTGAAACTAGCTGATTCAGAGCCCATCACCCTTCCTTTAAGGCAACTTTCTTGTGATTGGCTGCTCCTTGCAAACAAAAGATTTGAACAGCAGCTGGATGTGACTTTTATGTGTGATGTCCACATTAGGGACTGTGTGAAACTGAGAGTTTAGAGCAGTCTGGATTATTTGTAAATACACTGACCTCATTATTTGACACGTTGGCCCTGGTTATGTTAAAGATTAAACATTGTAACATGACAGGAAATAAGAAAAAGCACAATAGGTCCACTTTTAAGACCTGAAGGTCCAGTCAGTGTACGTACCATCTCCTTACTCGGCGCCAGTATCTCCTCTATCATCATGCTGTCCCGTGTAAACGAGCTCCGGTTCAGCATGTTGGACCTATCAGAACTGAAGGAACGAAGGCTTGGTGTGGTTGTCGTAGTAGATTACCAAGACAACAGTCACAGTGATGGAAAGGGGAGGTGAGGAAGAGGAGGAGGGGGAGGTGGTGGTGGTAGGGGGGGCAGAGGGTAAAGGGGTGAACAGAAAGTGAACAGAAAAAACAAAACAAAAAAAACAAACACAAACACATTAAATGCATGCAGCTTCCAGGAACCTGACTGTATGGCACCAGAGACAACAACAACCACAAGAAAACAGATTAAAAGTTGAGAGAAATGACTGATGTGTAATTTCGCTGAAGTGATTAAAAATCGAAATAAAAAATTTCAGATGCAGATGAGATTGCACTTCTGGGGCGATCAGTGTACAGTAAAAGAAAGAAAACACATGTTCCATCTACACCTGTTCTTACACTTCCTGCATTTTTAGCCTCTTCACTTTGATCCCATGCTGCACACAGAATAAAGCACCATAAGCCTGAGTAAAGCAGGATAGCATGTAAAAGGAAGGCAGGTTGCTACACGATGGACGCTGGTGGAAAGGGGAGCTGGTATTAATGACAACTTTGGTGATAATTAGCTGGCACTATTTTGACTCCTCGTGTCTTTGTATACGTCTGTCAGCTTGTGCAGGCTGTAATGTTGTTTGTGATGGGAGCTTTGAGACAAACTTTTATGAGGCAAATAAAAAGCATTCCTGAGCAATGACATGACGAATGTTTGCCTGCAACACCCCAACAGCAATTACATCAGTGCCATTAGCTTTATGCAAGTGAACTATTGTGAACCAATTAATTATCAATGGCAGGAAGTGCTCTACAGCACAACTCTAAATGCTAAAATCACAAGGCTGTGGAAACCAAGAGCAGATGTGGCTGCAACAGATTTATTTTTTCATACAATTATCCAAAGA